CTTTCTCTTTTACTATTCCTACATCTTTGATTCCCTTTCGAATCATCCCCGAATCAGTTACTACCACCTCTTCCCAACCACCAGTAACAGTCAATGTATCTGATACAGGGGCTACTACTGTGGTTGAAACCCCCGTCATCAATATCCCACCATCACCTTCTCCATCCTCCAACTCCGGTGCTACTTTGGGCGGTGATGATGAAGAGTACGACTCTCTTTATTATAGCCCATACCGGATTCCCACAGATACTGATGCCGATACCCCTATTACCAGTCAGCAGCTTCAAGAAATTCATGACAAACTCGATAGTCTGTTGGCTGATAATAAAACCTATGGGGGTGTGGTGCTGAAAGCCTTCATCAAGTCTGCGATCAAGACGTATACTGACGCTCTGGATCGTTCCATTGATGCCATCGACAACTCAGCCGCTTCATGCTCCAAAGCTACAAAGGAAGTCTCTGAGGTTGTTCACACAACTCAGATCTTTCTTGATTCTCTCAAAGCACATGCTGATGCTAATGCGGCCAAGTTTCAGACGTCAGTAGACTCCTTTTCGGCTACCCTTCAGGGTGAAACCTCCAAGTTTGAGGCTCTGCGTGCTGACCTCAAAACTGAATCCACCTCTTTTCTCCAATCTTTGGATTCACGTTTTGCTTCTCTAACAGCAGAGAGCACCTTAAAAGAAGATCTTGTCAAGCATCAGGAAACTATCGACCTTCAGAAGATACAACTGGCCCAGGCACAACAAGAAATCTCTTTGCTGAAAACTCAGCGGGCAGTTCTTCAAGGTTGCGCTGGTGATGTCAAGAATATGTTGACAACTGTCCTTGACACTCATGATCCCTTTCTTACCCTTACCATCAAATAGCATCTCCAGGCTAAACTCCTTCCCGCGATTAACATCTTGAGCGAAATGAAGGGTGTCTCGGAGACGCTTGTTCTTCCGAGACAAGGGGGAGAGGAGGGTATACCAAAGACAGAACCGAAGGTTAATTTAGCTTCGGGTTCTAGAAAACAGTTCTTTGTTGAGAGCGAGTCAGATACTGATGAAACTATCGCTGAAGCTCTTCAACGAAAGAAAAGGGACAAAGAGCTGGATGCAACACTGAAAATAGCTCGAGAGGCCAAGGCCAAAGAAAGAAGAATCAAGGAGGATGAGGATGCTCTACAAGCCAAGAAGACTCTGTTCCTAGAATGGGACAGAGACACACTCATCAATCAAGCGATTGAGTTTCCCTCCATATATTGGTTGGAACCGATTGCATCTTTTGAGTGTGAGAATATCAAAGACTCGCAGTTTGACATGCCAATCACACGAAAAGCTTTTACATTTCATTGCTTCGATGTCACTGCCGATGTCCCTCATCCAAACTTGAAGGTTGACAGAGAATTGATAGATTTCTATTTGAAGTATGGTCAACCACAGTACTTGACATGGAGTGCACAGAAGATAATTAAAGTCAAGGTACTGAAACCAACACAGGCTGGGAAATTTGTGAATGTTAACTTCAAAATCAACAGAGGAACGGCCAACACAGAACATTTTATTTCTCTGGCAGATCTTCCCAGTCTGAATCCTCATGATTGGATTCTGCTATACAACATTCTTGTCTCCAACCAAAGAGAGTATGAACGGATTCTGAAACATCTCAAAAGAATGTTGGCTTCCTATATCCATGAGCTCACCACTATGGATCAGGAAATAGCAAAAATAATAAACAAGAAACCGACCGTCAAGCCTACTTCCAAGACAGGAGACGTACATAAAATGAAGTTCGGGAAAATTAACTCATCAAATCTGACGGTCATGTTCACAAGAGGCGACAAGAACAAGTTTTTGTTTGCTTTGGTAGACAAGCATCTATTTTCAATAGATTGTCTGGAGCATATCATAAACATCATTCACCGATGCAAGCAGAACTCCACAGCAGACAAGAAGAACTTCACTGATATGCTTCGGTGGTATATCACTTTCAGGCATCACATTCTGGCTATTATACTGAGGATTTTTGAGACGGTGAAGAAGCCTTCTGCTGTTAAAAGGGAATGAAGACTTTGTGCCAAAGACGCAAAGGGGGAGATTGTTGAATATTATTGTGTTGCGTCTTGGGCCCTTTTGTTTTACAGCCGGATTGGGCTTGTCAATCCGTGTTTATCTAGATTAGCCTTCTTTTTCTTAGATAAACGGTTAGGGTTTTATTATAAATATATGCATGCATGTATGCGTATAGAAGCAGTCGTCACTCTCATTGATTATTGTAAACCCTAAAATCCTCTACAGTTGATGTTCTTTATCGAGCTCTTCTGAGGGTTGTTTATTAAATCATTCGACACCTTTTGATCCATTCAGCTTATTCTTAATTGTTTATCTGGTTATTTCTCTACCTGTTTCATAGATCTAATCGATCTTCAAGTTTGTTTTACACTTATCAATGTTGTTGAAACCTTCAATTATAAAAGTGTAGTAATAGATCTTATGTAAGTAATGCAGCTGAAGAAAAGTTATGCTTGCTAACAGTAGTAGTGTCATAACTTTAGTTAGTAATAGATCTTTAATTACTTCTGGATTTTAGTTCAGACTTTAAGTCTTAGTGTATTTCTTTAAATGTAAGTATAACTTCTCATTTGACCACTTGTGAAGTAGTAGAGTACCGATGACCTTCCCGGTCATGTGTAGTGAAGTAATGTAGTGCCACCCCTGGCCTAGTCGGCTCTGAATGTAGCTAACAGTCGGGATGTAATAGTGTCTATTCCGTATAGATCTATACATATAGTGTTGCTTCTCTTTCGGGAAGCCATGGTCACATGGTGAAAGTACAGTAGAGTACCTTATAGAGAGATAGTGTGATATACTTAGTATTAGTGAATTCTCTTATAATTTAGTATGATAGACTTTTAGTATAGTAAGTAGAGTGTTCTAATATACTTGCATTAGCTTGCAATGTTAACGGTTTAAGGTGTGTATAACAGTAGTAGAGATAACTAGTGGTAGCCTTAACTATACCTATTATAGTTAAATAGGGCATGTGAATTCCTACTTCTGATCAATAGTAGTGATGAATAAGATAAAAACATGCATATCTAAAACAAATATATATGATATATAATTAAGAATTTAACGACAATCGGACAGACAACCAATACCCTAAAACCACATCAAACAAGAACAGGAAATAAGGCCAACTATCGGTCCTAAGTCCTTCAAGTCTTATTTATATGAATATATTAATGTACATATATTTTATTAAAAGAAAAGTAGTTGAAATATAGTTTTGAAATAGTTTAACAACAATTTAACCTTAAAAACTCATTTGATAACTAGTTAAAATAGTTTTATTGATGAGTTTCTAAAATTTCACTACTAGAAAAAAGCCCTTTAATGACGCGCAAACAATGACACTCACTGATAGAAGACGCGGATTTGTGTGTGCCCTAAAAAATAATGTCAATTTTGAAAAATTGGAAGGATAGAGGACACGCGTTCGTGCGTGCCCTAAAATTAGTGTCAGAAAAGAAAAAAACAAGGAAATGCAGAGGGCGCCTTTTATAAAATATGCGTCGTCTAAATGTGTCACTTTATAATATTTTAATGAAACACGCGTTTTTAAGGCGGGATTTCACTCGTCTATTAAATCCCAAAAATTAAAACCCCCCCTCCCCGCCTCTTCCAATTAGCAAGAAAATCCCCTACGCCTTCGTCTTCATAGCAACACCGCACCACTACCTAACCTCCGATCTTGCACCACCAAGTGTCCCCGACCATCTTCTCTAACCATTCTTTACTGTTGCACTACACCGATAATAAAACCCCCCATCACTATTTTAAACCACTCGTGATACGCATCCTCACCTTCTCCTATAGATCTTCATTCTCTGTAAAAACCCTTCTACCATCAATCATCGAATAGCACTCCCAAAAATTACAGAATGAAATCCCAAAAGAATTATAAAAATCCTGCTCCTAAGAAAAATCCCAAACAACTAGTGGTATTTTCACTAAAATTCATGGATTCTCTCATGCGATTTTAGCGATTTTCATCCCCCCTCCCCTATTTTTTGGCATCGATCACTTCTTAGGTGGTCTTTGGCCTTCATTTTTATTGTATCTAGTTTCCCTTATTCTCCTCCACCTATGTTTTCATCTTTCATCTTCAATTTCTTCTCATCAATGGTTCAGACGATTCATATGATTCCAGGTCAAGGAGGAGGAAGAAGAGCTATTGCTCAAGTTCTAGGATTAGAAGCACGAAATCGAAGAAAGATATGATATATCTATATAATATATGTATTTATGTTGCAACTTCTAGTTTTTTCAATCCTACTCTAGATAATGCTCTCACCAGACTCCAACAATGTACTTTCATTAGACATCAAAGAACCTTCTCGAGTACAATTTTATAAAGGCTATATGTTCAATCGCATTCCAGAACTTCTCTCTGAGCCTGGGATTCTCTTGTCTATTTTTGATGAAATTAGTGTTTTGATTAAGGAAGATAGCTCCTTCAAGAAAGAACTTATGATGACTCCCTTTGTTCTTACTAATACAGGATCTTTGCAAGAACCACAAAGGTATATTCTAAATACATTTCCATTATATATATAATTCAGTTTTAATGAGTTTGGTCCAGATGATGAAGCAGATAACTACTCAAGGAACACCCCTGATGCATTTCATGAAGATTATGTAGGCAAGTTGTTCGATGAAATGCTAAGAGACTAGTTTTTTTCTGAACTAAAAGTCATCAGACGGTTTCCTGTTTTTGTTGACCCACCTGTGACTGGTTGAAGTTGACATGGGAATTCCTATATGCTTCCCTCACGTATGTGTGCCTCCTTGTCATTTTTTGGCTATTTCAATAAAAAAAATTAAGTTTTTTGGAGCTGATTGAGAAATCTAAATAACACTTTGTTTGTTATTAGGTCGTACAGAGCATCATAAGTGAGCTTGAATCAAAAGGGGTGCTTCCAGGAGCATTTTCAAAAGTTTTATGATGTAGTTATGCCATACTTGAAAGCTATACTCATGAATGCAACTGATAAAGATAATTGTATGCTTCGTGCCAAATCCATGGAGTGTATTAGTTTCGTTGGAATGGCTGTTGGACAAGATAAGTTAAAAGATGATGCTAAACAGGTATAGTTATATATATTTATAAATATGTAATTCACAAATGTTTTTATTTTTTCATCTTGGAAAGTTATAATTTATTACATGTTTCAAGGTTATGGATGTCCTTATGTCACTTCAAGGTTCCCAATTGGAGACAAATGATCCAATAATAAGCTACATGTTACAAGTATGCTTCTTTTCTTTTTCTGTTCTTAAACTTAATCTTTTAAAATAAATTTGAATTAAATATTATAAATTTATAATTATATATTTTTGTTGTAGGCGTGGACAAGACTCTGCAAGTGCCTAGGGAAAGATTTTCTCCCTTACATGAATGTTTTGATGCCACCATTGCTTCATTTTATTCAACTTAAACCAGATGTTACAATTACTTCTGCTGATGATTCAGATGATGATATTGATGAGTCTGATGATGAAAGGTGTGATTTTTAAAAAATGAAATGTTTGAATGAGAGTTAATGACCATTTTACCCTTTGATATTGTAGCATTGAGACTATTACACTTGGAGATAAGATAATAGGGATCAAAACTAGTGTCCTTGACGAGAAAGCAACAGCATGCAACATGCTATGTTGCTATGCTGATGAATTAAAAGAAGTGTTTTTCCCATGGATTGATCAGGTGAAATGAAATTCCTCTTTTACCCTTTCTTCTCTTTTTACATTTGAAAAAAATCGGCGTAAGTTTTTAATAAAAAACAGGTTGCACCAACATTAGTGCCACTTCGTAAATTCTATTTCCATAAAGAAGTTAGGAAGGCTATAGTCTCAGGTGAAATAAAATACCTATTTTACCCCTGAAGACTAGATGTATCATATTCATGTATGTACCAGTTATACCATGATAATAATGTTGGTGGAGCTGGAGCAATATTATTAATTGGACGTTTCATGTTATCATGGAATATGCTATCATTAAACCATCTTCATACATGCATTTATTGTCTAGAACACATTCTAATTTCAATATTATCTCCTATATTAGGTATGGAAGCTGCTAGTAATTGAAAATCATGATTCAGGTACTACCTAAGCAACAGTAGTATAACATATCTATGAAATATCTACACTAAGTGACACTTATTGTAATCATTGACAGAAAGGGTGACACCATTACTAGATGACTACATGCAAGGTAATCCTACCCCAAGAAATGACTTACATAATGCACTATCCCTATGTTGTTTGATATGTCTACATTTGTGTAAATGCATGAACAATTAGGATATATAATTCAAAAAAATGATGATGGATATCACCAAATTGGTTATAATAACAACATACCTCAAAATTTATGTTAAATTTTTAAGGAAAATTGTAGGAAATAACAAGGTACGCTATTAGCTCCAATGGATATCATCAAATAACTAATTTTCCCTTATACATCTTCATATCAATTTTTCTTTCTAATGTTCTGATTTGTTGTTAATTGTGCAGACACCTGAGATTCTTCATTTGTTAAAGCAGATCAAGGAGAAGCTGAAAGAAGTTGATCAAATGATAAATTCATAAGTCGTTTCTATAAACACCACCATCCAACATATTTGTTGATGTGAGTAGGCATGAAATCAAACAACTAAAAATTGGATAGGCAGATGGGCCAACATATGTCAATCATAATTAAATAATGTATATAATATATTTAAATTAAAATTTCTGCAGGCTGGAACTCTTTTTGACTTCACAGCCTCCACAATCCAAAGTTCATGTAGGGTTATTTTGGTAATTTACTACTAGCTGGGACTCTTTATGCTAGAAATTTTTAGTTCCCTGTACTTAGAGAGGTAAATATATACTCTGTTACCCATCATTTCAAATGTTCATGTAGGGTTATTTTGGCAATTTACCATTTTGTCACTTTCACAGCCTCCACAATCATTTCACTTCCACAACCACTACCACCGATGTTTCGAAAATTTTAATTTTTGATCCTTTGTTATAAAACTCCCAGAATTTACAAAAATCTTCCTTTTAATCACCGATGGCATATAATATTTTCACTTTGTACTACTAAAGATGATGCATACAACAGAGGTAGAAGAAGCTTTGATGTTGAAAATTATGGTAGAAGAAGTAGAAGCTCTGATAGAGAAAAGGAACAACATGCTTATGATGATGGACATTATTCATCAAGGGTGTGTGTGTGTGTGTGTATCTATATATATATATATATATATATATATATATATATATATATATATATATATATATATTCTTTGTTTATGTCGGAAGCAATGTGAAAGATATATTTTTGTTTATGTCGGAACAACATGCTTATGATGATGGACATTATTCATCAAGGGTGTGTGTGTGTGTATATACTAAAGATGGGTTTGTTTTTATTGCAAAGGAAGCAATGTGAAAGCTGATGATCAATCTCAGAAATCACCAGAAGGGGTACCTCTTACTTATGAAGATGTTGTGGCTCCATTATTCACGTTGCCGATTATATGAACTTAGAGGTATCATCAAACAAACTATATACTTTATCTAGATTCAAATATATTCATATTTAAACTCCATTAACATTGTAAATTAGTTTATTATATAATTCATTAGGCATGGAGGGTACCTAAAGTCTTGCGTCCTTTATATGAATCTCCAATTATTCTTGCTCAAAAAATAATGATGGTAATTCAACATATCAAATCCATAACGTTTCCAAATATACCCTTATGTCATTTTACTTAATTAATAGAAAATTGAATGTGGTAGGATTTACGCCAGCTATGACAGATAGCTCTATAAGCTTCGAATTATAGTCGTGCAAATTAGGGGAGAAGACCTGCAACATTAATAGGATTAAGTCGGAGGAAATCCATAAGGACCATTTTGCAATTTGATAAGTTTTAAGGGGGTTAATTTGTAAATTTTTTATTCTTCAGGGGTTTAATGAAGCTCTGAATGGGTTTCCTGATGAGGGTTGGTCATTAATGGGTAATGATGGAAATTAAGATGTTACTATTCTTGTGAATACTTCTCATAAAAAGCTTATGGGGTTGAATCTTTCATTTGAAAATGGATTTGCGCCTGTTAGTAATGATGTAATGTGTGCAAAAGCTTCAATAATCATGGGGTAGTTATGTGATTATTGTGTTTCCCATTTTTCCCTTTTATTATCTCTTGTATTTTTCATAATGTCATATATATACACTCCCTTTTACATTGTTTTCATCATATTGTTACATATAACAAGATATACTTTTTGTTATTATAGAATCTTGAAATCAAGAATATCAATGATGTAAAGAAAGCATCAATGGCAGCATAGTTTGCAAAAGAAGCCACTCTATGAACAGTTCATGTTGCTAAAAAAGATGATGACATGTCACCAATTGAAGCCATTCTTGCACCATTGGAGTCTGACCTCAAACTTGCTGGATAAAAGGTATGTGCTACAAAATAATTTTAGAAACTATAAAAATCTCATGCTTCCTTTTTGTCTTTCAGATTTCAAAGTTACCAGATGACAACAAGGCATTAGATGGATGGACAAAGTCAAAGGAAGCTGCTTTACTTGACGCTGAAAGGACTGTTTAAGTTGCATTAGCAAACGCTTCAATGGTGGATAATCTTCAAAACAAGAATCAGGAGTTGATGAAACTGATAGAAATTTCTTAGGTATGATGCTTTTAATATTTAAATCTTTAAATAATATCGATTTCATGGAGGAAAATAAAGTTATGGTTTTGTTTTTTAGGAGGAAAATAAAATTATGGATAAAATGCATCGAGAAAAGGTTGTTGATCAGGTGGAAAAGCTTACACAGACTGTACGTGAGTAACTGATCACATGGCTAACCATACCTACAAAGATTTTTAATCTTACCAAGTTTCCAAACAGTAGATCTTTAGAGAAAAGATTGACATATCGAACATGCATTTCTAAATTAGTGGTCAAGTGAAGCAGGTGCATCAACTCACCAAGGGTTGCTTCACTTTGACCATAAATAGTAGTGAAAAAAAAAAGAATAACTATTAAAATATAATAGTTATCTGTATTAAAAATGAGTAACCTCTTGCCCCTTAATTATATTGTTTGTGTCCCACCCCTTATATTAAATTGAGAAAAAAATAACAAAAAATAATTACAAAAATTTCAGAATCTTGAATAACAGAATCTTATATCTTCATCATTTAATTGTGTTTTATTAATTATACATACATGTTTATACATCTGGTTAGTCATATTCTTCTTGAAATATCTGTTACAACAATGGGATTCATCCAAGTTGATAAGACTACAGATTATCTTTTGGATCCCCTTCAAAGGTGTCTCAAGGTAACATAACATATCTATTTATTGTTGGAGTCTTTATATATTAAGTACATGCAATCATAATATTGACACCTTTATATGTAGTGTGTATTTAAATAGTGATTTGTATGATCTTGTAGGACCTAGATGCATTCACTATAGCTATTGTTGTGAGTATTGCCTTCTCTTTCATTCCTACTTCGTTAGTTGTTGGTATTATGAAGGTAGGCCACTCTACGGGTTGTATTTTTCACATAATTGACAAGGAGCTGTTGTATCTATTCAAACTAGGCTTAGAGTAATGGTTGCAAGAGATGAGTTCAGAAGAAGAAGAAACAAGGCTGCAACTATAGTTCAGGTACTATGGATTAATTATATTTGTAAAGTATTTAAGAAAATGATTAGAAACAAGGGTAAATTTGTACAGATTAGTTAGCTACTTGCAAGTTGATCTTGAATAAGCAAAGGGCAATGGATTATATTTTTTTGTATCTAATTTGTTTGTAAATTTTTGTTACAACTTCTATTGATTTGTTTTATCTTTCCATGGAACAATTATTTGTATGACATTAAATTTATGCAATGGTTTCTATTTTTTGTATATGAAATTTTATTTTCTATTATGAAACATTAAACACAAATTTAATTTGAAAATAAGTAAATCTATAAATAATATTTTTTTAAACATTTAAAATTATGATACGCAAAAATGTGTGTCATGTTCATTTATGACATGGCCTTTCTTGATAGGGGCTTTCTTGATACGCATTGCGTGTCAATAACACGCGCGTCGTAAGGTTACGACACGCGAATGCGTGTCGTCTTCCTTTATCACATGGCCTTTATTGATACACATTGCGTGCCGTAAACACAGGTCGTAATTGTGCGTCGTCTCTCTTTATGATAGAGCCTTCCTTGACGCGCATTTGCGTGTCGTCTGAGCCTTTTACGACGCGCAATGAGCGTCGTAAAAGGCTGTTTTTCTTGTAGTGTTTGTAGGTTAATCCCTTTACGATGATGGATTGTAAATCACATATGATTTGATAGTAAAATAGGTAATAATGTACTTGTATCCCCCCCCCTAAACCATGTAAAAACATTTAAAAGGTTCATTAAGGGGTATGAACTCACCTGAAATGAGTAGATCGGGTATGAGTGTCGGGTGAGCGTTTGGTGTAAAGTAAGGACTTGTACACCCTTTATGACACTAATAACATATGAATACATATGTTTACAAGTAATTAGTGATTTAATCTCTTATTAAAACATATAGACATCCTAGTGTGATTACAAGTCTTACGGTTGAGTGCTAGAGGGTTAATGAGTTGTATGGAAGGAGTGTATGACCTCACACTGGAGTTTACTCTCCTAAAACCCAGCCTAAGTGAGTTTATAGCTGGAAACTCATGGGAGGAGTGTTTTTGATTGCTTTCAAGTCTCATGTGGATTTAGAAGTGTTTCTAAGGAATTATACAAGGCTATAGGGGTGTTTAGGGGTTCAAGAGCATACTCCCTTGGAGTTTACGGCCCCAAGGCCACTCCTTGGGAGTTTACAGCCGTAACCTTTGGGTTTATGGTAGTAAAGTCTTGTATACCCCATTCCTTGATTTCTAGGCCTTTTGTTTGATTTCTAACAAATTCTAGTAGAGGTTATAAGGTCTTTTAGGTGTTTAAAATCCCATTTTTCATGATCTAGGGGAGTTTACGGCCTAAGCACATGCTTTGGCCGTGAACTCTATTTTATCCCACAAAAGCATGTGTTTAAATGTTCTAATTCCGAAATGGCTAGTCCTTAATCCATATCTTAAGCCTAAGGGTGGTTTGGAAGTGTTTTTGGGCATGATAGCATGGTTAGAGGGTGTTTACGGCCTAAGCATGTGCTCGGGACATAAAATCTCTTTTATTCCCTAAAAATTGATGTTTCAAGGTTTAAACACTCCTAGGTTAAATCCCCAACTAGTTTCTAAGCTTAAAGGAAAGAAATTTGGGACTTTTGGCCTCATTCAAGGGGTTACGGCCTAAGGAGGTTCTTAGGCCATAAACTCCTTTCTCTCAGCTTTCTTGGACGATTTTTGGGTTAAAATAACACTAATTAATATCTAGAACAAGTTAGGGTAGAAGATCTTACGTTTTGGAGTCGGAAACTTGCGGTTTTGAGTCGAAAACGAGCTAGAGAGAGTGCGAGAGTAAAGAGAGAGAGAGAGAGAGAGAGAGAGAGAGAGAGTGGATCTTGAGTGGTAAAAAGAGTTCTAGGA